CATCAATGATTTCATTTAATGTATTTAGAATATCTACAATATTGGAATCTGTAAAATAAGGATTTATATAATAAATAGAAATTTTGTATGTTGCTGTCTTCACTAAAATAAAAATGATTTAAGCACAAAGATATGTTCAGTTTGAAATTACTGTATTAACATGCTATTAAGGTATGATTTCAAATAAATACTTTTTAGATGATTTAATATTTATGAAGTAATCTCTGAAATCTGATGTAGAAGAAATACTAATAAACAATATACAGGCATACCCCAGGTTACATTCATAATGTTTCCATCAAATATTAGTAACATCATGAATGGTTGTATTGTAAATTGCTATTTTCTGTACATTTTTTAAAAATTTAAAGTTTCACCTCATGGAAAGTTTTTGAGCAATGACCAATATAGTTTTATGCCCCACTATTCCACAGAGATTGTCCTTGCTAAATTGTGTGATACAGCAGGAGTGTCCAACCCGCAGCCCAATAAACGTGTAAACAAAACCAACAAATGTTTTAATTTATTATTATTTATTTATTTCAACAGCATAAACTCAAAAAAAAGTTTCACAAAGTCGTAAACCTTTATTCATATTTTATTTTTGAGTGGAAAGAAAATATTTTCAAATACTTGGAGATGTGTGAATGCGGAAGGATTACTAAATAAAGCTGGAGTTGTAAATCAAAGTATTATAGACCCAAATTTGGGAAAAGGAGGGAAAGATGAGAAAGGACAAAAGATGTAGTAGTGAGTAACGTTAAATAGATCTTCTGTTAAGCAAATATGGACCCGTAATTTTTCAATCTTTTTCACTTCTTTATCTTTTGTCCTTTGTCNTAAATTTTCTGCATTTTATGTCTAAAAGTATTTAAATTATTATTTCTAATTTAATAATAATAATAATTTATAAATATTAATTATAACATTTGCACTATTTTTAACATTTAAGACTTGTTGTGTCATTAAGCTGTAACATATGACAGGCCTTCCTTTTCCAACGAATATACATTACATATAAAAATGCGAGGCCCTAAGTTATAGCCTCCTAACTCGAGGCACTAAATTGCAGTTTATTTAGCTTATGGGCTAATCCATTTATAATTAATAGCATACAAATATGATATAATGATTGATTTTAGTAGCTCAGCCTTGATTTTGTTCTAGTACAGTATAACACTTGGCACCAGCATGGTTAGCTCTTAAAGGGGTGCAATCATACTTCTAGATTTTCTATTGCTGACAGAAGTTTTATTTCTTTAAAATAATGTATATATTTTAATATTTTTATAATTACTTTCCTAATTTTTTTTTCTATTAAATTTCTAAATTTAATTTCTAATACAATTGTAATTTTCTTTATAATTGAAACTTTTTGAAGTTATCTTATATTTTCGACATCAGATGGCGCCAGATATACATTACCTATTTTAAATCTGAAATTAAGGATTTTAAAAAAGTTATTGTTTAATACGTAAATATTAAAAAATATTTTTAATATAATTGATATAAAAATATTAGAACTATTAAAATATTTTAAAAAATTATATAAATAACGAAAAAATAAATTTAACGTATTTATTCATACTGTATTTGAAATTTATATCATTAAAAATATTTTTTGTAATATAATTTTAGTGATATTTCTGATAATTACATCTATAAATTACTATATTTAATAAAAACCAGATTTAATAGAAATTTCCCAAAAATGCTCAGAAGTCAACTATTGATTTTTGTTCATTTTATAATAAAAATTTTGAACAAATTCATATTACATCATGTGAATTTTCTATTTTAAAGTTTCTTTAAACTATCAAAATCTCGTTACGAAACATTTAAATTTGTACTGAATTTTATATCAAAGTTTATACAAAAACAACGAAATGGAGTGTGACGTCATTTATGATTTCGATTTTGTTTTTAAAAATGTTATTTAATAGCAATTTTAAACTTTTAACCTTTTAAAATTTCATAGAAAACACATAAATATTTAAATATTTAATAAAGAATAAATCTTAAATATTTATTTAATTAAGAATTTATTGATATTTTCTTAGAGGCATCTGTCCCTTGAATGTATTAAATGCTGAAAGTATATTTTTTTCCTAGGGGTGTTTCTATAGATATTTCTTCTCCAAACGAAAAAATTTAAGTATTTTTTACAGTTAAAATAATACAAAAAAGAGGAGAAAAAAATGGTGTCCACGCTTCTTAAATTTCTAGCAGCGAAGAAAGGCAAACTTTCTAACTAAAAGCTGTAATCTTTTGTTAATTTGAACCTTTAACTTCTGTAATTTATGAAGAGTTGATAAGAGTTATTAGACAAAATGCTGTAGGATAGGAAAATAAAATAATGTCAAGCTCAGAAGAAACCAAGTATCTATTTTTAAATGGAATAAATTCGTCTTCAGTTATTTTGGACTATGCTTTGTGCCAAATGCCACAAGAATTGTTATTTAAAAAATCTTCTAAGTTGAATAATAACTAACGTTGTAAAAAACGGATATGACTAAAGATAAGTGAATAAACTGATTTTTTTTTTGCCAAGTTTTATATCGGAAATAACGATTTTCAGATTTCTATAAGTAGGTTATTAGCGAGTTGTGGCAATAAGAACTTACAATAGAGCTTACAAGCTTATGATCACTATTGATTGGATGTTGCCTTAGTGGTAATGCTGATGATATCCTTGGACAATAATAGTTGTTTGCAGTTCTTTGTTTCCTGAGTGAAAGACTAATACCGATGTAATTGATAGATAAGAAAAAAAATTTTTTTGATAAATTCCCTTTTCCTAAATAAAAGTTAAGTATTATTTCAAAAAAATATTTTACAAATATTTAAAAAAAAAAACTGTAGATTTACACTCAGTGACACATTATACTAAAGACAGAATGGATATTTGTCTAAGGACCAAGAGAATCCTTACAGTTGGTTACTCTAAGAAGCCCGAAATAAGTTTTAATGCATTCAAAATAAAATAAAATAAAAAATTGTTTTTCAAGTATAATTTATTAAAAGATATATTTAAGTTTAGATTATGTGATGACGGCCTAAAAATTAATTTTGTTTAGGGCCCTCGAGATCCACTACCTATTAAAGTTGAAAAAACGTATAAAGACTATATAATTTAATAAAATGTAAATTAGCACAGTCTTCATGACACTAATTACAAATTAAAAATCTAAATTTAGGTTTGTGTAATTTACAAAAAAGTATATGTAAAAAAAAAACTTTAAAAACTTATTATCACTTATGTGAATAAGAATATAATTGTTTATCACTTAGAAGAATAAGTGGCCCTTTGGCAATGTTATATTATGTCACATAACCACCAGAGATATTTAGAAGCAAAGATAAGATAAGGGATCGCTGTGTAGAGACCACAGATGCGTTGTTTTATCGCCTCAGTCGGTTCCACCTGCCGAACTTATCTCTTCTCTGTCTTTCACAAATGTTAACTATAGAACACTACATCCCAGGGGCTCTTATACATATGCGATTATTATTGTTGTATACTACTAACTAAGGTATATTTCAACAACTTTACTATTATCAAAATCGACTAGAAAACGTAATTCGACTTTAAACATTTAAATATAGATTTAAAAAATACATATATGTATAGCAATATAAATTCAATTCTTCATCGATTTGAAGTTAATAACATTATATAGAAAGTGGATTTAATTCTGTAAATGGATATTCAAAAAATAATAATAATAATAAACTTTTTATAAAATTCTACAATAGACCTATTAAAAACTTTGAAAGTTTATTAAATTTTTATTTTATTTTTACTTTAAAAAAAACTTCAATTTAGTTACAATGTGATCTTATTATATGAATATAAAAAAAATAGAAATATTCTAAAAGTATATAAGGTAAAAAATTATATTTTATTATCTCTCATCATTAAGGAACGATTTTTTTTTCGTTACTTTCTTCCTGTTGTTCTTCCTTTTCTTTTTAGTTTTTATTAAAGAGAACTGAAAGTAAATAAATGCGATGAATAGAACACAGCTTGTTGGGATATAACGAATGAATGAGAGAAAATAACATCGACTACATGAAGACAGAAAAATCTAATTAGGTGAAGAAAGACGAGAAGGAAATGAATTTGAACCTGTTTGCTCTGTTATTACACGTTTAATTAATACGAAAGTAAAGAAAACTTCCGAGAAGACAGCTTATCGGTTTACATAAAGTCAGAAAACTTTTCATTTAAAGAGGATTATAATATCTTAATTTTTAAAGCGTTACGGACAGACAATTTTTACGCTATTCTAAAGCGGAGGAAACTTCGAGTTTAAGAATAATTTTAATATATTAAAACTAATTAATTTATTTTAAAATGTTGTGTCGTACAATAAATTATATATCAAAAATTAATATATAATAAATTGAATTTAAATACAATTAAATCTTATAAATATTAATTAGATTTAAAGTTAACATAATCTCTTCTAATTAAACGGTAAAGTTGAATGGCTTCGTCGTTTGTTAAAAATATTTAATATCTAAATATATTTTTTTATTATTAAAATGTAATTAATAACTTTTAAAATGTTTTAAAATTGAATTTTTTTATTAAATTTTTAATCTTTTTTTTTCTATATTTTTCGAGTTTTCGCTTCCTTATTAAAGCTAATGTCAATTTTATTTAATTATGTTTAAAAAATAAATTAAAAATAATTAATTAAGCATAACATTTATTTATTATTTCGAAAAGAAAGTAATTATAATTATAATTACGAAGAAATAATTATTTATTCTTTTTAATTAATTGTTAAAAGATATAAATTCTTTGTATGCAGATAAAAATCGTCATTAAATTAATGTTTTCATAAATTATAATGGAAAATTTTCTTTTATTTTTTTTACAGCTTAAAAAACGCTGCAGTAACTGATCTTTCTGTCAGTTGTAAAAATTCTACAAAATATTTTAATTATTTAAATTAATTTTATATAAAATTAAAATGAAAATATCTCTTATATAAACAATAATTTTATTTATTCGATTCTTAATTAACAGTTCATTAATTAATATATATATTTTTTATACCCTAAAATGATAACAAACTTTGATATTTGTTAATATATTTATGGTTAATTAGGTTTAAATTATTATAATTTACCCAAAATTATCATAAGATTTTTTAAAAAATAGTTGTTTTCAAGTCTTTATACAAGATGATTTCCAGCTTGTAAATGAGGTCTCCAATATGAAAAAAAAATTTCATATTTAAATAAATTAACTTCTTCTTTTACACTGTAAAAACTCTTATCACGTAGCCATTATCGTACATATTAGAATTATTATCCACGAATATGATGAACTGTGCCTTTCAGCTTGGCTTCTTAGTTCCGCTGGTGGGCAAGCTTCGTTTCTCTTGATGTAAGCTTCCATCCTCGTATGGCAGTTATCTTTCTCGGGTCCTATACATGCAGCATAAGCCATGGCATGTGGTATATAAGTTTGTTCGAATACACCTCTAAATAAATGAGACATTGGTCCGTGAGCGTAAACTGGTACATCTTCACCACCGTGAGTATCCCGTAAATTAGTACAGTCTTCATGACACTAATTACAAATTAAAAATCTAAATTTAGGTTTGTGTAATTTACAAAAAAGTATATGTAAAAAAAAAACTTTAAAAACTTATTATCACTTATGTGAATAAGAATATAATTGTTTATCACTTAGAAGAATAAGTGGCCCTTTGGCAATGTTATATTATGTCACATAACCACCAGAGATATTTAGAAGCAAAGATAAGATAAGGGATCGCTGTGTAGAGACCACAGATGCGTTGTTTTATCGCCTCAGTCGGTTCCACCTGCCGAACTTATCTCTTCTCTGTCTTTCACAAATGTTAACTATAGAACACTACATCCCAGGGGCTCTTATACATATGCGATTATTATTGTTGTATACTACTAACTAAGGTATATTTCAACAACTTTACTATTATCAAAATCGACTAGAAAACGTAATTCGACTTTAAACATTTAAATATAGATTTAAAAAATACATATATGTATAGCAATATAAATTCAATTCTTCATCGATTTGAAGTTAATAACATTATATAGAAAGTGGATTTAATTCTGTAAATGGATATTCAAAAAATAATAATAATAATAAACTTTTTATAAAATTCTACAATAGACCTATTAAAAACTTTGAAAGTTTATTAAATTTTTATTTTATTTTTACTTTAAAAAAAACTTCAATTTAGTTACAATGTGATCTTATTATATGAATATAAAAAAAATAGAAATATTCTAAAAGTATATAAGGTAAAAAATTATATTTTATTATCTCTCATCATTAAGGAACGATTTTTTTTTCGTTACTTTCTTCCTGTTGTTCTTCCTTTTCTTTTTAGTTTTTATTAAAGAGAACTGAAAGTAAATAAATGCGATGAATAGAACACAGCTTGTTGGGATATAACGAATGAATGAGAGAAAATAACATCGACTACATGAAGACAGAAAAATCTAATTAGGTGAAGAAAGACGAGAAGGAAATGAATTTGAACCTGTTTGCTCTGTTATTACACGTTTAATTAATACGAAAGTAAAGAAAACTTCCGAGAAGACAGCTTATCGGTTTACATAAAGTCAGAAAACTTTTCATTTAAAGAGGATTATAATATCTTAATTTTTAAAGCGTTACGGACAGACAATTTTTACGCTATTCTAAAGCGGAGGAAACTTCGAGTTTAAGAATAATTTTAATATATTAAAACTAATTAATTTATTTTAAAATGTTGTGTCGTACAATAAATTATATATCAAAAATTAATATATAATAAATTGAATTTAAATACAATTAAATCTTATAAATATTAATTAGATTTAAAGTTAACATAATCTCTTCTAATTAAACGGTAAAGTTGAATGGCTTCGTCGTTTGTTAAAAATATTTAATATCTAAATATATTTTTTTATTATTAAAATGTAATTAATAACTTTTAAAATGTTTTAAAATTGAATTTTTTTATTAAATTTTTAATCTTTTTTTTTCTATATTTTTCGAGTTTTCGCTTCCTTATTAAAGCTAATGTCAATTTTATTTAATTATGTTTAAAAAATAAATTAAAAATAATTAATTAAGCATAACATTTATTTATTATTTCGAAAAGAAAGTAATTATAATTATAATTACGAAGAAATAATTATTTATTCTTTTTAATTAATTGTTAAAAGATATAAATTCTTTGTATGCAGATAAAAATCGTCATTAAATTAATGTTTTCATAAATTATAATGGAAAATTTTCTTTTATTTTTTTTACAGCTTAAAAAACGCTGCAGTAACTGATCTTTCTGTCAGTTGTAAAAATTCTACAAAATATTTTAATTATTTAAATTAATTTTATATAAAATTAAAATGAAAATATCTCTTATATAAACAATAATTTTATTTATTCGATTCTTAATTAACAGTTCATTAATTAATATATATATTTTTTATACCCTAAAATGATAACAAACTTTGATATTTGTTAATATATTTATGGTTAATTAGGTTTAAATTATTATAATTTACCCAAAATTATCATAAGATTTTTTAAAAAATAGTTGTTTTCAAGTCTTTATACAAGATGATTTCCAGCTTGTAAATGAGGTCTCCAATATGAAAAAAAAATTTCATATTTAAATANGAAGCCGAGTAAACAATTATTATAATTAGAGATCCTAATATAATTATATAATCCTACTTAATTATAATTAAAATTCTTAATAACAGAATAGTGGAATTAAGAAGTTTACGTTCAGAAACATGAATATAATTAATTTTAATAAAGTCAATCGTAAAGAAAATAACTAAAAACACAATAAAAATGTTTAATTCTTTCTTCGTGCGTATGCATGTCTATCCGATTTTTTCATGAGAAATGTTACTACAATGGATTTGTTAAATATAAAATAAAAAAATATATATATAATAAAGAAGAATTTAAAATGATTTAGGATTATACTAACTCATTAATTACATTATATATAATGAAATTTCTTATTATATTATTAAGTGGAATGTCTGCATGTCTATCCCCTATACACTTCTGAACCTTTTGAACGATCTATTCCTAACTTTCTATATTTACTTATTAATATCCTGCTGAAAATATAAGCTACTTAAAACCATCCCTCCCCTGATTTCATCCCCTATTAACTCCTAAATCCTTTGATCGAACTGGACCAAGTTTTTCAAAGTTTCTCTCGAGGACTTTGAGTTATGAAAATGATATTATGGGGATTTATTTTATGAAATTATATATTTTATATTCATTCATTTCTAATATAATTTGAAATATTTCTTTACAACATTTACTAAAAATTTCTTTTTATTGCTCAAGTAATGCGGTTACAAGAATAATTCAAATTACAGCATAGGACTTTTAAATATAAATTTATTGTAAATGGGACGTGTTGAAAGTTAATGGATGAAGTAATAAATAAATTATAACAGATTAGAACCATTTGCAATACGTCATCTTGATATAGATTTATATGGAATGAAAAATTATACTGTAAATTTTTAATTATTTCTTCTATTAATATGCATTTTTTTTACAGAAAATTTATTCAAAATGAAAAGAAGTATTTTTTAAATTAAACTTTTAATTTATATCATTGGAATTATTATACATTAATTAATAACTATATAAACTTCTATAATATAACATATAAAAAAGGCCTTCCTCTACACCATATAACTAAAAATGTGAGGCCTTATTCAGTTTGTTTAGCACACAAGATAAACAATTACTGAAGTTAAGTGTTATAAATTGATAAAAAAAATAACATAAATTTTATAAAACTTGACTACATAACGGATAGCACATTAAATATCTTTTTATACCCTAAAATATTATTTAAAAATAATAAAACAACATTATAAATTCTTGTACCGACTTGAATTTAATTCACTTTCAGCAAATTATCACAAGAAAAACTTTTCGATGAAGCAATTTTCCGTGAAAACAAATATAGAAACAATAATAAAAAATCGCGAAAAGTATAAATATTACATTAATTTATACACTAAAACTGTAAATTTTTTATCCGAAAACGGAGATTTTCCTAGGGTGTATGATATACGACGCCATTAATTATAAAGTTTGATTCAAGTTAATATAAATTCGAGAAAAGAAAATAATCAAAATAATAAACGATCCCTCGGTATCAAATCTCAAACATTATTTCCAGAGCATACACACAACATGTAATTTAAAACGAACAGAAGAACTGGAATGGTTACAACAATATATTTTCGTGTTTAAGAAAATATTCTACTCTCCTGTGTCGTTTTCAAAAACAAAACATTAATAAAAGACGACAAATTGTAAATTTTTAAAACTCATGTTTTATTAATGTTTCTATATTTTGAAGATACTTGAAAGATTTCACTTTTTATAGTTTAGATATGTGAAGAGGGGTTGAATAGGAGGATAAAAGTCACAACGATCAATAATGCAAATGTATATAAAAAGCGTTTTTTATATTACAACTGAGATTAAAACTCTACTATAAAAGAGTTTCTTTGAATATATTATGATAACATAACTAATATCCAATTCATTACTTACTAAACTAAAACTACACGTACTTACTAAACTAAAACTACACGTAAATGACTTAAAATATTCAAACATTTTACTTGTAAACATGTATAGGATAAAACATGGCTCCTTCTTTCACAGAGCAATGCCCTAGCTACACACACACAGAAAAATATATTCAACAGAACAATTCTATATTCACATTTATGTTTTGTCCAGGTTCGTCCTCCACTAGCTGCCTGGCCAGATCTTTACAAGCGCTCTTAGCATCTTCTGGCATCTTGTCATCACTTTCCCAATATCTACTAGCAACATGACCATACGCAGCTGCTGGTGTAGCGTGTGTAACTCTTGTAGTAGTTACCACACCCGTAGCTTTACCTAGAAAATGTTAAAAAATAAAATAAAAAGTCTATCCATAGAAAACTATAACATTGTTACTTTCTATAGTAGAAAAGTTCTATTTATTCTGAATAAAATGGGATCAGATTTGAAAAAAATTATGCACAAAGAGAAGGAAACATCATTTACTTACAAGTACTTTTTATATAGTAAAGAATGAGTAGTAGTTCTTTAACCTGAGGCATTTCGGAAGTATTGCTTATCGAACCGTTTTGATACAATCGCATGAATGAATATAAGGCAATTTTTTAATATTTATGCTTTAGAGAAGAAGTAAAATCAGTTGAAATCTGATTAACGTCAGCTTGTTATCAGTTTGAACGATTGTCATAATACACACACAACAAATGAAATATTTATTGCATTTTTCGAATAAATATCCAAGTAATTTCCCTTTTTTTTCTTGTTTTCTTTCATAAAAACGAAAGTTTTTAAAATTCCATTCGTAAACATTTTTCTTCCATTTTTATTAACCTCGCTTAATCAATTTCTAGTTTTTTTTTTTCAATTAGAATGCCTCTTACAAAGACAATGCAAATAACCCATCCAGTTCTCTGTTTAATAAAGGAAAAACATTGATGCGCGTATTGTTGACGTTGTTTAACTAATGAGATTAATAACAAAAAATCCCTGAAAAATTAGTATTATTTTTAATTATTTATTCAAAGAAAGAAAGAAAAAAATCAAATTATTTTTCTTTCTAATGAATTAACTGTAATACATTTTCTGGCGAATTATTTTCTAATTTAATTATTCTGCTTGTGTTATTTTCATTAAAAATATTACTCATTATTTAAATAACGAAAGTATAATTATTAAAATGAAGCGAATTAATATATTTTCCTTTCTTTTTTTCTTCTTCTAACTTTAATGTGGATGACTTACTAACAGAATTACTATAATTTCTCTTGAAAATTTCATTACTTCGATATTACTAAAGTATGTTCTGTGAGTAAGGATTTAAGATGGTCTTACCTTCTTGCTGGGCCCAGTCTGTAAGGCATGTAATACGTGAGGTGAAACTACTAAAACATTTATCATAAATGGCATTATCATCCAAACCTATGGTTTCGAAGCGACTTTTAACTCCGCAAAGTAAAGCCGTCGCACAAGCACCCGAGTCTCCCACCTGGCTATCTGTATTATAAGTCTGTAAAGTAGAAAAATAACTTTCAATTTCTCAAATAATTTTACGTCACAAGAGAACGTGACATTCTCTTGTGACGTTCGCGACCGCACTACAGATTACACGTATATAAAGAGAATTTTAATCAATTTTTTTAATGTTTATAATTTTATTTAATTTATACATAATTTACTATTCTTATTACTAATTTGTTTGTTTTATTTTTAAATTTTAACGATTTAAATCAATAGAAATACGATCAATAGATCAATTCAAACAGTTTAATCAATCGATTCAACGGTATAAATCAATAGAAAAACGAATTTTTATTAATCAAAAATTCGTTTAGAAATGTTCCAGTTTCTCGATATTTATATAATTTACCTATTATAATTTTTTAAAAATATATAAAACAAAGCATTTCGGGTATTAAATCATCATTTATTCACACCCTCTTCGGAGATGCGCTTACAGAGAAGACGTTTTAGTGATGATAAATAAGTTCATACCTTGGAAAGTGCTACATTTTCGAACTTATCGAAGGCTAATTCAGTTTCTTCTCCATTTTGTCCCATTAACTGACCCCTTAGGATTCTAGCAGTCGTTACAGTAGTTATTCCCATTCCATCTCCAATAAAAAGTATAAGATTCTTTGCAACGTTATAGTTTCTTTCTTCGCGAATATTCTTTAATAAAACACTCTTAGCTTGTTCATACCAGTAAGATCTACCTACTTACAAACAAAAATATTTATTAATATATTAAAACGACACAGGAATGCCAAGTAATGATAGTAAATGTAGGATTATTAATGAATAAAAGGTGTGTGTTTTTTTTTAATCTGTAAGATCTTTTTATCAAGTAAATTATCATTATTTTTAGATACTAATTATAAAAGTTTAACGTAGGAAATACGTGGAAAGTATTTTTAACACGTACTGTACATTTGTATGGAAAAAAATTTGTGAATTAAACATTCAACNATAATATACAGTAATAAATAAACAATTCATTTATTTTAGTATTTATTATCAAATTTTTACGTGTTACAGCTATTTACAGTATTTAGAAGTTGCATTAAATTCAATTAATATTTGTTTCCATACATTAAACCTTTATCATAAGATGTTTTACCGTGTATTTAACAGTTTCATTTACAGAGCTAAATATCAATAACATGAACATTAACTGTTATTTATGCCAGCAATTAATGTTACGAGCACAATTATTTCATAAAATGTTACACAATATTGTACACTAACATAAGAACACTTATTATAAGGAAAAACTTGCTAATCTAACTTCAACTTAACGACATATAAAATCTGATTCTATGTATATGTTATTATTTCTTCATTAAATATATTTAAAATATAATTTAAATAATATTAGTTTAATTAATTTTTAAAACAATATATTATGGATCTCTGAAACTTTGGCAAACATCATTATAAAATATGTTAACACTTATTTTAGAGTACTTATTGTTAGAAACTTCTTAATGGTAGCAGTCCAGGAACTTAGTTGCAAAACGATATACGGTATTCTCAAAACCAAGTTTCTCGTTATACTGAAATGTTTTTTAATAGTTAAATAGATAAAATCGCCGAAATTTCCCGAAAATTCGTCAAAAATTTAATGAAAAAAACTAATTACATTCGAGTTTCAACAAAAAATGTTTACCTGAATTCAGTAAAGACAATATAATTGATTAGCATTGCGTGTAAACTTTATGAATTGAGAGGTTTCATCAGATCTTACATGGTCTCAAATTGAAACAAAAATAACGTTCAAGAAAAATTCAAATAAATTTTTGTAATTTGAAATTTATCATGTTTTAATGCAAAATTTCTTAGAAATGGCTGATATTCTTATCAAACATGTAATCCAACACCTTATTTTTCGCTGAGAGATTATTTTTAATTAAAACAAACGTTTTCGATCCATTCATTGGATCATCTTCAGGCTAAATAGAACACTTCATAAATAGAACTACTCGTTTAAATATTCAAAAATACAAATAAACCGATAACATAAAAATAAATAATACTTGTAAATAATACAAATATTCAAAATAAATAACATAATATCATTACTAAATAATAATATCGTCTGCCTAACTATATAGAGCTTATTATTTCATACTAAATTTCCTGCGCTTTTTTTAAGCTTTTAACCGCAAACTTCCAAGCGGAAGGAAGACCCTCCGCATCTCTTGCGTTAATACATTTTTCTTCAAGTTTGCTTCTATAGATTTCTATCTTTTCAGCTGTTCTTGCCAATGCCGGCGAGTGTATCTGTTTCAGGATTTCGGCTTTATCCCAATGTATCAATGAACCTTCTGCCTGCGCCATCTGGGCCAAAACTGTCGCATTAGAACCTTTTCTGATATCATATTTGTGTTCTTTGATCCTTAAACCTAGGTTCCTAGTTGTAACCCCTACATATTCTTTCTTAATTCCTAAAAGCTGGTTCTCGTAGGGAATCTTGTACACACCCGCCTTATTTTCTTTTCTAACTACCCCTTTATCGTTTCTAAGTATTTTGTATAAATTTGGGGCTCTTTTTAAGACCATCTTTGCACCCTTCATATTTGTGATTTCTTTCATAACTCCTCCTAAATGTTTGTTGTATGTAAATTTCGTGTATTTAGAAGGACCTTGTGCCTTTTTTATATCTTTATTATCCTCTAATTTTCTAATAATTCCCTTAATCACATTCCTCTTGTAACCCAATGTTCCTGCCAATTGCATAATTCTTTCTAACTCTGCATCCCGGTCTATAACGCTTTCACAGTATATAAAGGCCCTCCTAACCAATGCTCGAAACGCTGCTATTTTATACCTATAAGGGTCATTAGAGTTTGCAGGGATATATAGTGGACTATGTGTTGGTTTAATGAATACGTTGGTGGATATACGTCCTCTCCTAAATATGATACTAATGTCTAAGAAATGTACCTTCATAGAGCTTTTTTGCTCTAGCTTCAACCTAAGACCTTCCTCGTTATCGTTAACTCTATCTACGAATTCAGCAATTGCTCGATTGTTTTTCCATAAAATGAATACATCATCTACATATCTCTTGTAGTATACAATATTTCTTTCAAAGCTACTCAGTATTTTTCTTTCTAGTTTTCTAACGACAAGCTCGCATAGGAGCCCTGAAATTGGGCTTCCCATTGGGACCCCTCTATTTTGTTTATATGTTTGGCCTTCAAAAACGAAAAAGGATTCGCAACATACTAGATTAACCATCTCTGCAACCTCATTACCGTGTTGTGCTAACATTGGGTTTACTCTATTCAAAAACTCCAAAAGTGCTTCTACACACGCTTCAATCCTAATAGAAGGGTACAAACTTTCGTAATCTAAAACAGTTCCCACTTCTTCATCCATTAAGATAAGGTCTTGTAGCTCTTTGACCACCTTCACAGGATCCTTTGCCACCAATTCATTACTTTCCATCATGGAAGAGAGATACTCTTGCAACTTTTTTTCCAGGAGAAATGTGGGTGCTTTCCGTTTTTCCACAATAGGTCTTATTTCCTTGCCCTCTTTATGAGTTTTAGCGAAGGCGAATAACCTCGGGGTCCCTGGTCTAGGGTTTCGGCATTTTTGTAAGAAAGGTAAGATCTTCGCTAGTTTTGTTCCTTCCAGCTTTTTAATCCTTCTATCAATTGCTTCAACTATATTACTATTGATCTTAATACATTCCGTTTTTCTGATGTATTCTTATACGTTGGAAAACGGTGCTAAAAAATCAAGAAAAGTGGAAAAAAGGAAATAATAATAAGGACATCAGTTTTACTAAGAGATGGCTGAAAGAGAATAACTTAATCGCAGCAAGAGCGGATAAAAGCAAGCAAATAGTTATAATGAAAAAACAAACGTATAATAAAGCGTTAGAAGAATACATCAGAAAAACGGAATGTATTAAGATCAATAGTAATATAGTTGAAGCAATTGATAGAAGGATTAAAAAGCTGGAAGGAACAAAACTAGCGAAGATCTTACCTTTCTTACAAAAATGCCGAAACCCTAGACCAGGGACCCCGAGGTTATTCGCCTTCGCTAAAACTCATAAAGAGGGCAAGGAAATAAGACCTATTGTGGAAAAACGGAAAGCACCCACATTTCTCCTGGAAAAAAAGTTGCAAGAATATCTCTCTTCCATGATGGAAAGTAATGAATTGGTGGCAAAGGATCCTGTGAAGGTGGTCAAAGAGCTACAAGACCTTATCTTAATGGATGAAGAAGTGGGAACTGTTTTAGATTACGAAAGTTTGTACCCTTCTATTAGGATTGAAGCATGTGTAGAAGCACTTTTGGAGTTTTTGAATAGAGTAAACCCAATGTTAGCACAGCACGGTAATGAGGTTGCAGAGATGGTTAATCTAGTATGTTGCGAATCCTTTTTCGTTTTTGAAGGCCAAACATATAAACAAAATAGAGGGGTCCCAATGGGAAGCCCAATTTCAGGGCTCCTATGCGAGCTTGTCGTTAGAAAACTAGAAAGAAAAATACTGAGTAGCTTTGAAAGAAATATTGTATACTACAAGAGATATGTAGATGATGTATTCATTTTATGGAAAAACAATCGAGCAATTGCTGAATTCGTAGATAGAGTTAACGATAACGAGGAAGGTCTTAGGTTGAAGCTAGAGCAAAAAAGCTCTATGAAGGTACATTTCTTAGACATTAGTATCATATTTAGGAGAGGACGTATATCCACCAACGTATTCATTAAACCAACACATAGTCCACTATATATCCCTGCAAACTCTAATGACCCTTATAGGTATAAAATAGCAGCGTTTCGAGCATTGGTTAGGAGGGCCTTTATATACTGTGAAAGCGTTATAGACCGGGATGCAGAGTTAGAAAGAATTATGCAATTGGCAGGAACATTGGGTTACAAGAGGAATGTGATTAAGGGAATTATTAGAAAATTAGAGGATAATAAAGATATAAAAAAGGCACAAGGTCCTTCTAAATACACGAAATTTACATACAACAAACATTTAGGAGGAGTTATGAAAGAAATCACAAATATGAAGGGTGCAAAGATGGTCTTAAAAAGAGCCCCAAATTTATACAAAATACTTAGAAACGATAAAGGGGTAGTTAGAAAAGAAAATAAGGCGGGTGTGTACAAGATTCCCTACGAGAACCAGCTTTTAGGAATTAAGAAAGAATATGTAGGGGTTACAACTAGGAACCTAGGTTTAAGGATCAAAGAACACAAATATGATATCAGAAAAGGTTCTAATGCGACAGTTTTGGCCCAGATGGCGCAGGCAGAAGGTTCATTGATACATTGGGATAAAGCCGAAATCCTGAAACAGATACACTCGCCGGCATTGGCAAGAACAGCTGAAAAGATAGAAATCTATAGAAGCAAACTTGAAGAAAAATGTATTAACGCAAGAGATGCGGAGGGTCTTCCTTCCGCTTGGAAGTTTGCGGTTAAAAGCTTAAAAAAAGCGCAGGAAATTTAGTATGAAATAATAAGCTCTATATAGTTAGGCAGACGATATTATTATTTAGTAATGATATTATGTTATTTATTTTGAATATTTGTATTATTTACAAGTATTATTTATTTTTATGTTATCGGTTTATTTGTATTTTTGAATATTTAAACGAGTAGTTCTATTTATGAAGTGTTCTATTTAGCCTGAAGATGATCCAATGAATGGATCGAAAACGTTTGTTTTAATTAAAAATAATCTCTCAGCGAAAAATAAGGTGTTGGATTACATGTTTAATTGTTTTCTGCTGGGTATAGTTGTGGTTGATATTCTTATCTTTTATTAATGTTTATAGGCTATATAAATTCAGGAAAAAAAAAAAAAAACATAACGCTAACACTTTAGAAATTAAATTTATTCCAGTCTAAATTCCATTAATTTATTTATGTAACGTATAATTTATTATTTAATAAATAGATATAGTAGAATTTCTTTTCTTCTTTCATTTTCTTAAAACATTTTCATTTTTAAATTCTTTATTCGCTATGGAACTTCATTATTCTCGTGGTACGTCTCTAGATTTGTTATTGTCTAAACATAAATAGATTATTTAAGAAAGAAAGAAATAATATTTTATATAAGAAATTTCAAATAATGTTCGAATTACTCTATAAATATTTGTGATAAATACCTTGTATATATATATACAGAAAAATATCTCACGGTATATATCATTTGAAAGAAAGAAAACTTTCGTAACGTATGAAACATTTTTAAATTTTTGAAGATATCGGGATTACAGGATGACATTCCAATAATATTACAGAAATATGCTCTCTCTTAAACTATGTTTTAATTCACCACACAAACCTGAAATTTCAATCCTAATGTTAAACCCTAAAGGACGATTGAAATCCTAAAATCGTATTATTAAATATTGGAAGGATCGGTAAAAAAATTCTTTGGTGAATTTACAAGAAACGAATCACGTATTTATAATATTTCTGTTTGTAATGGACGAATATATCTAATACAGTACATAAATAATACAAATAATATTTCTGTCATACGTAGTTAATAAATACAGTAAGCTATTTTCTCTGGAATTCATAAAAATTCTTGCAAGTTAAATGAAGAGGCTTATTGATTCTACAAAAACAATTTGGAAAATCATTTTTAGGGACATTCTGGCTTCAAATTGCAACCATTAGCTTCACAACTTCAAGTGGAAACAAAAAAATAGTTTCATTGAATTTATGTCTTACAAACTTACAATCATATAGAAGAACTTATCTTGATTATAGGATATTTAATTCTCGGTGGACTTTAGTTACTAGTGCAAAACTATCACCGATTACTTATCGTTAGGTCTATTATCTTATCATCAAACCGGAAAACTTTTATCTACCAGAAAAGAACATTTATCATATGTCTCTAATATCTAATTGATATAATGCTATTTTTAATTTTATGATGTTAGCCATTGAATTTTTCAAGTAATAATAAATTTATCGAATTATTTATACGACAAGTAAATCAATAAAATTTTTCATACCCTCTTACAAATCAAATAAACTTGTTTTCCATATTCATTCCTTCTTCATCAATTACTGTTACTTTCCTGGCTGTTATGTATACATAACATGGGAAAGTATTAGAATCCTGTATATGAAATATATGAATGTGAAGTAATTTATTTATTTATTATAATTAATAATATAAAAGTTATTTTCTAAATAAAATCTCATAACAGCCGGGAAAGTTACGCAAATCGTAGCTAGACTTTTTTGTTTATGTTTTAATTATTTTCATTACAAAATAGAATAAGAGAAACTTATTTTTATTAGCCTTTTGATTTAAATTTTTAAAACGCTTTCCTCCATTTTGGTTCTTAATTTCTATAAGGGGTGGAAAGTCTTCCTGTATGTTATTTCATGCCCTGATCTATAATGATCAGTTAGTGAGGGAGGAAACATTCTATAAAATTCTAATTTTTGTAGAATTAATCAATTGGATAAATACAAAATTTCTTGATGATCATAATGATCTTACACTAAGGAATATAGATACGTCTATCGTTATTGGAATAGCGATAAATTTATCTGAATTCCTCAGAATTACTTAAATTGAGATATCAATAAAAGTTTTGAATGCTTTTGATATATTTTTTTATGTAAAAACATTTAAGAATCGATTCTATATACGAAATTCTTAACATTAAAATCTTTGAATGTACTTTCGCGCTATTGTTGTTCCAATAAAAACATAAAAATGAATAGCTGATTCGTATCATGCAATGACATATTTTATTTAATATTATTTTTGTTATACTTTACAAACATAATATCGATGTTGTAATTATTGGAATATAGAAATTTACTTTACTCAAACAAATTTTTGGATCGAAATTGTCATTAAAATTCTATTAATAATCTAAAAGCTAAAGTCGGATTTGCACGTATGTTAGACAGATTACAGCTTAGTGCCTCGAGTTATGAAGCTAGGGTCTTAGGATCTTAGTTTTTTATACGTATTATTTGTTGGAGGGGAAGGGCCTGTTATAGCTTAGGGACACAATAAGTTTAAGACGTTTTAACCTAAAATTTCAAAAACAATCTCATAAAAACATGTTAGATTCATGTAGTTGACAATAGTTCTAAAATGAATGAAATGAATAGAGTAAAATTAAACAACCAAAAACTGAAAATAAGACCTTTAATTTTTATATTTTATTGATTTTTTAAATAAAATAAATTAAATTTCCAATAAAACCAACCGTAATCCTATAAAATATAACGTTAAAACACAAATAATTACTTAAGGCAGATTTATGTAGTTATAAAATTAGAAATAATAATATTATTATTATTATTATTGTAATTAATATTTAGAGGTAAGAGGTAATAAAATAAAATATATTATTTTGAAAATTTAAGTAAATCTTTTCTTATCGAATATACAAAAGTAATCCATCATTATAGCTCTAAAGACATTCGATTATTCAAATTGATTTCATGAAAATTCTTTCAGATAATCGAAGCTCTTCTAAAATATTGATACGAAAAGCTTATCTGACGTCTTTTAGGTAATAAAATTTCACAATAATGCGTAGCCAGCTGTTGTATACTTTAAGTACAGCAGATTTAATGTACTACATATTTATTCTATCAAAGCAATGATGTTTTACTGGTATACGACGCCATTTCTCCATTTTATATCAAGAAAAACTTTAATATTAATCTAATTTTTTATTCCTAAAGTAGCTAATTTGATAATATATTTAATATTAAAATCATTATTTTTAATTTCCCATCGTTTTAGTGTAATTAAACTAAATTTAGAAGTAATTTTTTCACTTAAATTTTCTGCATTTTATGTCTAAAAGTATTTAAATTATTATTTCTAATTTAATAATAATAATAATTTATAAATATTAATTATAACATTTGCACTATTTTTAACATTTAAGACTTGTTGTGTCATTAAGCTGTAACATATGACAGGCCTTCCTTTTCCAACGAATATACATTACATATAAAAATGCGAGGCCCTAAGTTATAGCCTCCTAACTCGAGGCACTAAATTGCAGTTTATTTAGCTTATGGGCTAATCCATTTATAATTAATAGCATACAAATATGATATAATGATTGATTTTAGTAGCTCAGCCTTGATTTTGTTCTAGTACAGTATAACACTTGGCACCAGCATGGTTAGCTCTTAAAGGGGTGCAATCATACTTCTAGATTTTCTATTGCTGACAGAAGTTTTATTTCTTTAAAATAATGTATATATTTTAATATTTTTATAATTACTTTCCTAATTTTTTTTTCTATTAAATTTCTAAATTTAATTTCTAATACAATTGTAATTTTCTTTATAATTGAAACTTTTTGAAGTTATCTTATATTTTCGACATCAGATGGCGCCAGATATACATTACCTATTTTAAATCTGAAATTAAGGATTTTAAAAAAGTTATTGTTTAATACGTAAATATTAAAAAATATTTTTAATATAATTGATATAAAAATATTAGAACTATTAAAATATTTTAAAAAATTATATAAATAACGAAAAAATAAATTTAACGTATTTATTCATACTGTATTTGAAATTTATATCATTAAAAATATTTTTTGTAATATAATTTTAGTGATATTTCTGATAATTACATCTATAAATTACTATATTTAATAAAAACCAGATTTAATAGAAATTTCCCAAAAATGCTCAGAAGTCAACTATTGATTTTTGTTCATTTTATAATAAAAATTTTGAACAAATTCATATTACATCATGTGAATTTTCTATTTTAAAGTTTCTTTAAACTATCAAAATCTCGTTACGAAACATTTAAATTTGTACTGAATTTTATATCAAAGTTTATACAAAAACAACGAAATGGAGTGTGACGTCATTTATGATTTCGATTTTGTTTTTAAAAATGTTATTTAATAGCAATTTTAAACTTTTAACCTTTTAAAATTTCATAGAAAACACATAAATATTTAAATATTTAATAAAGAATAAATCTTAAATATTTATTTAATTAAGAATTTATTGATATTTTCTTAGAGGCATCTGTCCCTTGAATGTATTAAATGCTGAAAGTATATTTTTTTCCTAGGGGTGTTTCTATAGATATTTCTTCTCCAAACGAAAAAATTTAAGTATTTTTTACAGTTAAAATAATACAAAAAAGAGGAGAAAAAAATGGTGTCCACGCTTCTTAAATTTCTAGCAGCGAAGAAAGGCAAACTTTCTAACTAAAAGCTGTAATCTTTTGTTAATTTGAACCTTTAACTTCTGTAATTTATGAAGAGTTGATAAGAGTTATTAGACAAAATGCTGTAGGATAGGAAAATAAAATAATGTCAAGCTCAGAAGAAACCAAGTATCTATTTTTAAATGGAATAAATTCGTCTTCAGTTATTTTGGACTATGCTTTGTGCCAAATGCCACAAGAATTGTTATTTAAAAAATCTTCTAAGTTGAATAATAACTAACGTTGTAAAAAACGGATATGACTAAAGATAAGTGAATAAACTGATTTTTTTTTTGCCAAGTTTTATATCGGAAATAACGATTTTCAGATTTCTATAAGTAGGTTATTAGCGAGTTGTGGCAATAAGAACTTACAATAGAGCTTACAAGCTTATGATCACTATTGATTGGATGTTGCCTTAGTGGTAATGCTGATGATATCCTTGGACAATAATAGTTGTTTGCAGTTCTTTGTTTCCTGAGTGAAAGACTAATACCGATGTAATTGATAGATAAGAAAAAAAATTTTTTTGATAAATTCCCTTTTCCTAAATAAAAGTTAAGTATTATTTCAAAAAAATATTTTACAAATATTTAAAAAAAAAAACTGTAGATTTACACTCAGTGACACATTATACTAAAGACAGAATGGATATTTGTCTAAGGACCAAGAGAATCCTTACAGTTGGTTACTCTAAGAAGCCCGAAATAAGTTTTAATGCATTCAAAATAAAATAAAATAAAAAATTGTTTTTCAAGTATAATTTATTAAAAGATATATTTAAGTTTAGATTATGTGATGACGGCCTAAAAATTAATTTTGTTTAGGGCCCTCGAGATCCACTACCTATTAAAGTTGAAAAAACGTATAAAGACTATATAATTTAATAAAATGTAAATTAGCACAGTCTTCATGACACTAATTACAAATTAAAAATCTAAATTTAGGTTTGTGTAATTTACAAAAAAGTATATGTAAAAAAAAAACTTTAAAAACTTATTATCACTTATGTGAATAAGAATATAATTGTTTATCACTTAGAAGAATAAGTGGCCCTTTGGCAATGTTATATTATGTCACATAACCACCAGAGATATTTAGAAGCAAAGATAAGATAAGGGATCGCTGTGTAGAGACCACAGATGCGTTGTTTTATCGCCTCAGTCGGTTCCACCTGCCGAACTTATCTCTTCTCTGTCTTTCACAAATGTTAACTATAGAACACTACATCCCAGGGGCTCTTATACATATGCGATTATTATTGTTGTATACTACTAACTAAGGTATATTTCAACAACTTTACTATTATCAAAATCGACTAGAAAACGTAATTCGACTTTAAACATTTAAATATAGATTTAAAAAATACATATATGTATAGCAATATAAATTCAATTCTTCATCGATTTGAAGTTAATAACATTATATAGAAAGTGGATTTAATTCTGTAAATGGATATTCAAAAAATAATAATAATAATAAACTTTTTATAAAATTCTACAATAGACCTATTAAAAACTTTGAAAGTTTATTAAATTTTTATTTTATTTTTACTTTAAAAAAAACTTCAATTTAGTTACAATGTGATCTTATTATATGAATATAAAAAAAATAGAAATATTCTAAAAGTATATAAGGTAAAAAATTATATTTTATTATCTCTCATCATTAAGGAACGATTTTTTTTTCGTTACTTTCTTCCTGTTGTTCTTCCTTTTCTTTTTAGTTTTTATTAAAGAGAACTGAAAGTAAATAAATGCGATGAATAGAACACAGCTTGTTGGGATATAACGAATGAATGAGAGAAAATAACATCGACTACATGAAGACAGAAAAATCTAATTAGGTGAAGAAAGACGAGAAGGAAATGAATTTGAACCTGTTTGCTCTGTTATTACACGTTTAATTAATACGAAAGTAAAGAAAACTTCCGAGAAGACAGCTTATCGGTTTACATAAAGTCAGAAAACTTTTCATTTAAAGAGGATTATAATATCTTAATTTTTAAAGCGTTACGGACAGACAATTTTTACGCTATTCTAAAGCGGAGGAAACTTCGAGTTTAAGAATAATTTTAATATATTAAAACGACACAGGAATGCCAAGTAATGATAGTAAATGTAGGATTATTAATGAATAAAAGGTGTGTGTGTTTTTTTTTAATCTGTAAGATCTTTTTATCAAGTAAATTATCATTATTTTTAGATACTAATTATAAAAGTTTAACGTAGGAAATACGTGGAAAGTATTTTTAACACGTACTGTACATTTGTATGGAAAAAAATTTGTGAATTAAACATTCAACAGAATAGTACTGTACCTCACATTGCATGTTTGTAATGGAATTTTTCATGCTTGCTTTTTTTTTTTCTTTCAGAACTCGAAAATTATAGATAAAAGAAAGGCGTTATGTTATTTTTTTCTCATAGAGCAATGCCCTAGCTACACATACAGAGAAAAATATATTCAACAGAACAATTCTATATTCACATTTATGTTTTGTCCAGGTTCGTCCTCCACTAGCTGCCTGGCCAGATCTTTACAAGCGCTCTTAGCATCTTCTGGCATCTTGTCATCACTTTCCCAATATCTACTAGCAACATGACCATACGCAGCTGCTGGTGTAGCGTGTGTAACTCTTGTAGTAGTTACCACACCCGTAGCTTTACCTAGAAAATGTTAAAAAATAAAATAAAAAGTCTATCCATAGAAAACTATAACATTGTTACTTTCTATAGTAGAAAAGTTCTATTTATTCTGAATAAAATGGGATCAGATTTGAAAAAAATTATGCACAAAGAGAAGGAAACATCATTTACTTACAAGTACTTTTTATATAGTAAAGAATGAGTAGTAGTTCTTTAACCTGAGGCATTTCGGAAGTATTGCTTATCGAACCGTTTTGATACAATCGCATGAATGAATATAAGGCAATTTTTTAATATTTATGCTTTAGAGAAGAAGTAAAATCAGTTGAAATCTGATTAACGTCAGCTTGTTATCAGTTTGAACGATTGTCATAATACACACACAACAAATGAAATATTTATTGCATTTTTCGAATAAATATCCAAGTAATTTCCCTTTTTTTTCTTGTTTTCTTTCATAAAAACGAAAGTTTTTAAAATTCCATTCGTAAACATTTTTCTTCCATTTTTATTAACCTCGCTTAATCAATTTCTAGTTTTTTTTTTTCAATTAGAATGCCTCTTACAAAGACAATGCAAATAACCCATCCAGTTCTCTGTTTAATAAAGGAAAAACATTGATGCGCGTATTGTTGACGTTGTTTAACTAATGAGATTAATAACAAAAAATCCCTGAAAAATTAGTATTATTTTTAATTATTTATTCAAAGAAAGAAAGAAAAAAATCAAATTATTTTTCTTTCTAATGAATTAACTGTAATACATTTTCTGGCGAATTATTTTCTAATTTAATTATTCTGCTTGTGTTATTTTCATTAAAAATATTACTCATTATTTAAATAACGAAAGTATAATTATTAAAATGAAGCGAATTAATATATTTTCCTTTCTTTTTTTCTTCTTCTAACTTTAATGTGGATGACTTACTAACAGAATTACTATAATTTCTCTTGAAAATTTCATTACTTCGATATTACTAAAGTATGTTCTGTGAGTAAGGATTTAAGATGGTCTTACCTTCTTGCTGGGCCCAGTCTGTAAGGCATGTAATACGTGAGGTGAAACTACTAAAACATTTATCATAAATGGCATTATCATCCAAACCTATGGTTTCGAAGCGACTTTTAACTCCGCAAAGTAAAGCCGTCGCACAAGCACCCGAGTCTCCCACCTGGCTATCTGTATTATAAGTCTGTAAAGTAGAAAAATAACTTTCAATTTCTCAAATAATTTTACGTCACAAGAGAACGTGACATTCTCTTGTGACGTTCGCGACCGCACTACAGATTACACGTATATAAAGAGAATTTTAATCAATTTTTTTAATGTTTATAATTTTATTTAATTTATACATAATTTACTATTCTTATTACTAATTTGTTTGTTTTATTTTTAAATTTTAACGATTTAAATCAATAGAAATACGATCAATAGATCAATTCAAACAGTTTAATCAATCGATTCAACGGTATAAATCAATAGAAAAACGAATTTTTATTAATCAAAAATTCGTTTAGAAATGTTCCAGTTTCTCGATATTTATATAATTTACCTATTATAATTTTTTAAAAATATATAAAACAAAGCATTTCGGGTATTAAATCATCATTTATTCACACCCTCTTCGGAGATGCGCTTACAGAGAAGACGTTTTAGTGATGATAAATAAGTTCATACCTTGGAAAGTGCTACATTTTCGAACTTATCGAAGGCTAATTCAGTTTCTTCTCCATTTTGTCCCATTAACTGACCCCTTAGGATTCTAGCAGTCGTTACAGTAGTTATTCCCATTCCATCTCCAATAAAAAGTATAAGATTCTTTGCAACGTTATAGTTTCTTTCTTCGCGAATATTCTTTAATAAAACACTCTTAGCTTGTTCATACCAGTAAGATCTACCTACTTACAAACAAAAATATTTATTAATATATTAAAACGACACAGGAATGCCAAGTAATGATAGTAAATGTAGGATTATTAATGAATAAAAGGTGTGTGTTTTTTTTTAATCTGTAAGATCTTTTTATCAAGTAAATTATCATTATTTTTAGATACTAATTATAAAAGTTTAACGTAGGAAATACGTGGAAAGTATTTTTAACACGTACTGTACATTTGTATGGAAAAAAATTTGTGAATTAAACATTCAACAGAATAGTACTGTACCTCACATTGCATGTTTGTAATGGAATTTTTCATGCTTGCTTTTTTTTTTTCTTTCAGAACTCGAAAATTATAGATAAAAGAAAGGCGTTATGTTATTTTTTTCTAAGTTTTTCGAATGTTTTATATAATAAAAAAATTCTTAAATTTAATTTATTATTTTAAGACACATTAAAATTAAATTATGGCTTTCTCTTTGTATAAGAATTTTTCTCAATAATTCTAAACCAAAAACAATGATTTAAAATTTATTTAAATGTCAAATTTGGAAGGGATTTAAAACAAATTAATGCTTTTGTTTTTAATTAAAAATAAAACACATTTTATCAAATATAAATTATAATTAAAGCTAAATCATTAATTAATTGATTTATTTTAAAAGATAATTAAGCTAATTTTTATCGAATTAAATATTAATTTATTAATTTAAAAAAATTATTCCTTCGTTATAAGGGGTTGAATAG